CTCTCTGCTTTTGTTTGTGGGAACATGGGGCATTTTAGCGCTTTAATTACATGTAATAACGTTCTGATTGAACTGATCATGACGTTATTGTGTCATGATCATAACCAGGTTTAGCCTGTGTTTGTCTCTTGGCCATGGAATTAGGGGGTTAAACAAAGATTGCATTCATTTTGCTGTTAAAATGATGTCATTCCAGTCTCTTCTTGCTAACTAATATCTTTTCTACCTTTTTTCCTTTTTGTTGTTTTCCTTTTTGTTCCTAACCACCTAGCCGCCACCGGCAACTAACAAATGACCTCTGAACTCTGAACTCTTCACCCAATGATGAGCCGCCCGAGCCTGCCTGCTGATCAGATTAACTGGTAATTGCCTTTTGCTAGCCTGGTGGACGCAGAGAGAGAGGCACCTGTCCGAGCAGTGATCCTAACATAAACCAACACAAAACACAACAACCCTCCATACCAACAAGTTGTGTAGTGATAACAACGATGATACTCTTTATAATTTTTTTTATTATTATTTCTTTCTTTTTCTTTTTAAATCTCAAATGACTGGGTGAATGTTAACAGTGATGTTGCGTTACCCGAAAATCTGCACTGAAGTTTAAAAGCAATAAAGAAGCGTCTTCTGCTAATTCAGCCCTTAAATGCATTTATACTCAAAATAAATAAAAAAAAGAGAGAGAGAAAGAAATAGAAAGCTTGGTGACCCTAGTTTAATCAGTCATAACGCTAAACGGGGCATCAGCATTCAGATTATGTCTATACGCTACCCCACACCTATTTAAACGGTCACTATAAATCAGCAAAAGAAAAAGAAGGAAAGAAATCTGCACTCACACCAACTTGTGTATTTCCTGTCCTTCTCTGACTGTGTTTTTCAGTTGATGAGTTTTACTGTGCTGACACATTCTGGGTGTGCCTGTCCAGCTGACTTAGAGCATGGCTACAATGACAGACTGCACAAAGCTTGTTTTGATTTCTTTCTGTTACTTCTCCCTATTTTGTTTCTATAAAAACATTTGTAGAATAGTACAGCGAAAGGTGGTAAAGAAATATTGCGTGACTTTGGATACTATTGGCCAGGGGGGGGAAAAAACAGACCAAAATAGTCAAACCTTTTGGAGGAACTGCATGACGTGAGAAGAGAAGAGTACAGTTAGAGAGATAAGTGCCTTAGTTACTGATGGTCGTTTCTTTTTCCGAGTGTTACTTTGTTCAATAATATCCAGCACCAACTAGGATAGCGCAGAGCGAGGGAGGGTTTGTGAAGAGGAAGCACCCCAAGAGTTAAACCACGAGGCTGTTGCAGTGTTGTGCCACTGAATCTATTCTATGCAAAGGAATAGCAGTCATTTGACCAGCTAACAATGTGCCATGATTCGTCTTCCCAAAATTGAGTTGAAGTCTTGTTGTTTTTCCTTTAATCCCCATTTGAACAAAGTGTTTATTTTCTCTTTATTATTCTTATATTATGAGGACAAAATCAGCAATGCTGTCTATGTATTTGGTTACTGTGATTTTTGTCAAGAACTGCCAGTCATGATGTGGAAGTCTGCCAGGTGTTTTAGAAGGGAGATTTCAAATGAATTGGACTTCACCTGAAACCTCCTCTTGTTTCAAGATTTGCAAACTGGAAGCTTTCAATCATATTTGCCAAAACATACTCTTATTTTATGCCAAGGAAGTGTTTTTGCTTTTTGTTTTAAAAGACTGGAAGAAAGAAAGGAAGAGGGAAAACGTATTCCGCTTACTTTGGGAAAGCCTTTTTGGTGTTTCACAAAGGATAGATGTAGCTTTACTGTGCACTGATCTGAAAGAAGCAAGTAATGGGTGGATAGGGAAAATATAGCATTTACTCAAAGTATTACTGAGAGGAAGGTCACTGGGATATTCATGTGCTGCCACATCAGTGCCAAACCCGAACAGTCACAGAAGAGCCAGAGTATCAAATCACACGCTAAAGATCCGATTCGCCCTGAGCAGTTTTCAGTCGTTGAAACAATCGGAGGTGTTCATCACATTGAATAAGATTACATTCAACTTTGTGTCCTGTAACCCTGGCAGTCTCTAATGTAGTCTTGTTCACTTTTGTTACAAAAAAAGGTCAATGTCTTTTTTTTCCTCTTCTCAGTGTTAAATACATGTTTTTTTAAACATATTGAAATAATGAAATGCAATATTAGATAGGAGCAAAGACCGACTACAGAGAAATGGACAGTATTAAACGAATCCCCTCTGCCATGTTACTACGTGCTGTTAATGTTTTGAAGTTGGGTTTAGTCTATCAGGTGTATGGAGAAATCTGTTCTCTTCCGCCTGCCTACTACATGTGTAATAATGTCAATTACAGCCATTGTTACAGGTTTCTAATGTATTTTTCTAACTTCATTTTCTATGTACAAGTCTTTTTTTTTCTGATGAAACCCACTACACCTTTATTTTTTTCATGTCCTCTCTCCTCCTCCGCCCTCCCTCTCAACCCACTCTTTACTCAGATCTGTCTCTCATTGGGAGCGTTGCCTTTTCCTACAGTTATTTTGTTTTCTTGCTGATTCTTTAGCTTGTTTAACTCATTAGCAACTTATTAGTTCTTGTCATAGGTATTTTTACATGCTTGCATTTAGTTTTTATGGTGTATGCTGTTATTTTGTTTCTTATTAACCTCCTTGGCATTTATTTTAATAAACATTCTTAGTAAGAATTTTACTAACTTTGCTGATATTATTTTGTGTTGTGTTCTTTTTTTAACCAGTTTAATGAATTACTACCTTGGTCTGGTTCACGGACTAACACTATTAAATCTGGTGTGTGAACACCCTCACAGTTTCTCACACACACACACTCAAACAGATGCATTTTTCAGAGGTCCATACACATTTACAGTTCACACACACACACACACTTCCACGCAGTCTAACAGGTAAATGTGCACGAGGCAGTCCGTCCTTCACTCCGCTCCTGCACTTTCATCTTTGTCGCTGTAGAAATCTACCCAAGCGTGTGCTGCCATGCCTTGTCTGCCTCACTGTTCACGCAGTTTAATGGTGCTACTGGTGTTTCCTTTTTGTTTTGCTTTTTTTGGAAAAACCGCTGCTCTCTCTAGAACTGGATGTAACTGGGAGTTAGATCTCTGTAGAGTTAAAGCACAACTTTTTCTGTTACAAAACCCGATAACTGGAAATATTTAGTCCAATTAATAAATTTATTTTCCTTAATTAGGCTCTAAACATTGCTTTTTCTTTTTAAAATCCAGTAATAACCTTGTGAGCCTCAGGAATCGATGCATTTACTGCCACCATTGAAGGTATTTTGTTTTAGTATGTCAGTGCAAATGAATGTCCATCATGCCCAAAATTCTCTAGTGTATCTGATCTCAGCTCTGCTCCTTCATTCAGCCATCAGACTTCATATGTAGTGGGTCATGTGGAGTTTTTGAAGGTCGTTTGACCTGCAGAGGCCTGGAGAGATGGTGTCTGCAAGGGCTGCGCTGCTTGATTTCAGAGCATTTAAGTGGACGAAAATACTAACAAACTAGTCTGCCCTTGTAGGAACTGCTTGGGTGTTGTTACCGTGGAGACTAAAGGCAGTGTCCTCACTGTATGAGATATTTAGGATGTGAAATTTGTTTTTCTTTTTATGCAATATTTTCTGTGGGGAAATGTTTTGTAAACAACCCAAGCACATTGTGTATTAATGTTTTTATATATTTTTTTTTTTGGTCCTAATCCTAAATTTTTCACTAATTTGAAATGCATTGCAACTGCACAAATAAAAAGTGTGGTTTTTTTTAGACCGTCTTTATCCCACTGAGTGGAGCTTCAGAATGGAAAACATGCATTATATGTTGACTGACTGAAGTTGTATTCATCTTCATTTTGAAGAGCAATGAACAAAGCCTTAATATTATATTAATAAAGGGAAGGTTTCTCAAGCGAAAATGTCCTCAGAGAATGTTTCCTAACGGGTCACAATCACCAGCATCCAAGTCATTAAATAATTATTTTAATAATTCATAAATTGTTTGTGGTTTATAAAAGCATTTGGTCCAATAGCGTATGTGTGGAGAGCTGTAGCCCTTTTCTCAATGAATTGTTCGCAGTAAAACCTAATGAATAAAATGCTTAAGAGCAAGAGTGTTTTCTTTGGATTTTTAAAGAGACCTTGTTGCTGAAATGTCCCACAGAACTCAGGTTTGTGCAAAGATTTCAAGCTTTCCTGGTTTCCCGAAACAGTTGTCACCACCACCTTTGTTTCCAAAACCTCCAAAGGTGGTTTTATTATATATAATTGTTAAATATTATTTATAATGAATATATTTTAATTATAAATATACATGTATTATAACATAAATATAAATGTTTATATATATATATATATATATATATACTCATATTTACAAATATACGTTGTATACTATATTGTATATATTAAGGTTTTAAATATTTATTTGAAATTATCACTTCATATAGTTTTTATATTGTGTATGAAAAAGTGTGAAGAGGACCTGTTAATTCATGGCAAAAAAATTAATGATTTAGAAGGAGCTTTGTAATGTGTGCAATAAAGGGCAGTGTTTTCAATATGCTGCTGTTTGATCGCTGTAAACTGAGATTGTTTTTAGACCATTTTTCACTGAGGACATCAGATCAACTCTGCAGTTTGAATTCGTGGCCTTGTTCTTAGGTAAGTTACATTCAATTAAAGAAATGGCAGTAAGTCTAAATGTCACAGGTTTGACTTAGATGGAGAATCGAGTCTGTATTTACTGGTGTAAAATTAAACCGATTCTGTGAAGTCTTGACCTGTAGGCCAGAAACTGATGAATGGTGTTATTTATGAACTCAATGCTTCACTGAAACCAATGAGACTCTGAAATGCAATCTTAAGATTCTCTTTTATATATGTGACCCTGGACCACAAAACTCTTAAGTCGCTGGGGTATATTTGTAGCAATAGCCAAAAATACATTGTATGGGTCAAAATTATCGATTTTTCTTTTATGCCAAAATCATTAGGATATTAAGTAAAGATCATGTTCCATGAAGATATTTTGTAAATTTCCTACCGTAAATATATTAAAACGTAATTTTTGATTGGTAATATGCATTGCTAAGAACTTCATTTTGACAGCTTTAAAGGCGATTTTCTCAATATTTAGATTTTTTTTTTTTTTTTTGCACCCTCACATTCCAGATTTTCAAATAGTTGTATCTCGGCCACATATTGTCCTATCCTAACCAGCCATACATCAATGGAAAGCTTATTTATTCAGATAATGTATAAATCTCAATTTCGAAAAAGTTGACACTTATGACTGGTTTTGTGGTCCAGGGTCACATATATGTGGATATACTAAATATCAGACGTTTTTGTCACATAACACTGTTGCACCTTTTGGGTTTATCTACCTGACGTAGGCCTAATACATCTCCCTAGAGAATTTAATGGCAGTAACAGTATTACCACCGATCTGTCCTGCTGTAACAGCACCTGAATGCTCAAAAAAAGGGAGTCTATCGATCAATAAATCAAGTTTAGAGTGGATCTTTCTTGCTCAAAGTATAGTATGTCTCTCAATCCATCGCCTCATGGCAAGTCTCGGCTCGGGCACCCCGTGTCTCTCTTGCTCTCACCGAGAATTTTTCGAGTTTTGTATGAAGGCGGAAGTCAGTTTTGGCCAGCAGAATTCAAGAAATCAAAAGAGTGTTTATAACTGGAGCAGCTGGCAGCTTTATCAAAGCAAGGAAGAGAGAGAGGAGGGGTGTCGCAAGTAACAAATGATCCCAGTTCATGCAGAATAAATCAGGAGCATTCATCAGGACACAGGTGTGTGTGTCTGTGTGTGAAGGAGAGAGAGATGCTCAGTTCTATGTGTTTCTGGCATCTCGTGGAGGTTGATGAATAGTGTCTTGTGCTTCAGGTCTCAATGAGCAGCTGGTGTGTAAGAACTTTCTACCGTTCCAAATCCTGTCTATTAAGAGAAAGAACATACTATTGCTTTTGCTGTCATTTGCATTTTCATTAATGCATTGATCACCTCATAATAGTCTGTCAGAATCAGTCATTATCAAAATATCAAAAATAATTACAGATACCACTTAACCTTGTTTATTCCAAATTGGGGTCGGGCTGTGAGAATGCTGCTAGAAAAAAAGCTACAAAAAAAAAAACGATGACAAAAGCACATTAAAATGATAATTAAAAGCTAAAAGTAAAAGCTCATTCAAAATATTAATTAATACTATAATAGTTTATAATTATGGCTAAAATAACACTGATCTGATATTTCTGATTCTGTTTTCTCATTGCATGGACAAAAAAAAAGTGTCAAAACATACAGGTGAGTAAATTTTCATTGTTCTTATTTTCTTTCTTTTTTTGTTTAATAAATTTGCTCCATGTCCTGATTCTACTTTATGCTGCTTTAATAATCAAAACCAGGGTAAAATAACAGGGAATTTACACATGGAATGTAGTAATTTGATTCATCAGAGGTCTTTATAAGCCTATATGTACACACAAAACTGGTCATATTAATCAAACAATATATTGAAATATTGTGTTTGTTAGTTTTTTTCATATTGCTGTTCATATAGCATTTAGAGTTAGTAGACTTGGAGTGTGATCACTGACATGTAGTCATTTAGTTTTTGAAAGTGTGAAGAGTACGGCTGAAAGATTGACACAAGAACTGGCTGTTGTGGGATGTTTCAAAGTACTAAAAGCCAAATTTTCTCACAGGAAGAAGTGAATTACAAACGGTCAGAAATAGATGTTATTTTTCTGTGTCCGAGTGGTGTTAATTTTCAGAGGGTGAGAAGCCTGTAATGATTCGCTACAATTAACACCACGTCGGCTTCCTCTGTAGAGCATTAACATCTGTGCCTCTCTCTTTCTCCATCTCGTCTGCTCGAGATGAAAGCTGCATTTCGCTTCATGATAAATGAACATTTTGTCCCTGACTGTGTGCTTCCTCAATTCCTCTAATTAATCTGCTTGGTGGGTGTAAACATTAAACTCTATGCTCCTCTATCTTAGATTAATCTCTCTAGTCAAAGATTCTTCTGCACAGAGAGCGCGGGAGAGAGAAAAGGGTTCCCAGAGGGCAGACAAGGTCTTATGGATGTTCAAAGGGACCATTCATATACATGCTCTGCTGTTTGAAAAAAAAAAATAGATGGAGTAAAATGGCATCTTAAAAATGTGGCACTCATGGTGCAAGATGCCAGACAGCTGTTTTCTATGTAAGTATAATTGAATGGGAAAGACCAATGTCTTCAAAAGAACTGTTTTTAAAATAACATTTAAATAATAAAATGACAGCAACTTATAACTCATAAGCATTGCTTCTTTTGATCAAATCATGCTGCTGGTACATTTTAAGTTAAACTAGTGCTTTTTCCAAGTTGTATTAAGAATAAATTTACACTCCTGCTCGTTGTCACATTATAGTGACACATTAGTGAGTTAACACACTAAACTATATAGGCTACATCACAGTAGCTACATCTCAGTAATGGTTTCCGGTTGGTTTCGAATCGAACATAAGTGAAAAATATGAGGGGCCGTATAGGCCATAATTATTGAAAAGCCTCTTACAAACACTAGTGAAACGAAAAACATTGATAAACCATAGTGAAATTCATTCATATGCATTACTGAAAACCTCTTAAATACACTAGTGATAACACTGATCAACCTTAGTGAAATTCATTCATACG